AGTGTGTGGATTTTCGGATCCCTCGAGGGTGAATAGTGTTCACCTTTTATAGGAGAAGGTTGTTTGTCGTTCAAGTCCTTCTCTCTCCGCCATCTGTCCAATGTGTCTTATTCGTGGTCGTCTCTCATTGGAGGAGGACGACCACTCCCCCTGACACTCGGGTGCAGGTCTGTTTTGTTTGTCTCATTAGCGGACATCTCTCATTAGCGGACATCTCTCATTGGGCCGAGCTCCTATGATTATCTTGCTTCGGAGCAAGTGTTGGCCATAGGGCCGAGGTCCAACCTAGCTCAACCTCGGAGTGAGCATCGTATTGGGCCTAACACCAAGACTTGATTAATTTTTACCCACTTCATTTGCCCCCTAGCTTGCGCTTACGTTTGGCGAAGCGGAAGCCAATTCTGTCACAAACTTCGAAGTTGGGTTGATCACAACTTAATTGGAGCTTCGTGAGTTGGATTCAAAATTATTGTTCGGCCCAACGTTTACGTCTGCCCAATATTTTGTAGCTCGGTTATGCCCCCAAACTAAATGTGTATCTTCACTAGCCTCGTAATTGTCTAGCTTGGTGCTCTTTCAGTCGGCTAAGCGTCGTTGCTTGACTTGAAAAAATATATATGCTGAATAGTATATTTATATATATATATATATATATTTGCAGTGTTCGTCGACTGGGCCGAGCAACACAGTGACACTTCAAAGCAGGCCAAGCGTGCTTTATCACAGCTTTGTTCTAATTTGAAAGGCATATTCGCTATCTTTTTGCTCGGTCCTACTTGTAGAAGATAAATTGGTGTTGGTCTCAATGCTTGGTCGGCCAAGTCCTGCCCCTCCACTCTGTTCGATCTCAAAGCATAGCTTGCTAACATCGCTCGGTCATGCGGATCATGCACCATTTTCTTGTTTGGACATGATTAGCACGTCTATTTGTTCAGCTCGTTTCTTCATATATTGGTCGGTCATTTTACCTTCAGCTTAAGAATTGTCCGTCACTTAGTTAGTCGGCCGTAGCAGCTTGTTTGCATAGTTTTTGTTTTTCAACACCGAGTTGCTTGGTCGGCCCTAGCAGCTTTGGCGTTGCGAGTTTGCATTTTTTAATTCGGTTTCTCTACCACCATGCTACTGTCAACCTTAGCACCTCTTATCTTGAGAGTTGTCTAGCACATAGTCGTTATAGTCTTGGTATCGACTTCGACAATATTGACTCTCGTCGGGCACTGCGCTCCTTCGACCTTTGCTTGTTGTTTGTAGTGTATTTATTTGGTAGAATGTTGCACTTCCAACTTTGTTTGTTGTCAATCTTTTGGTTGTTTACTTGAGCTATGAAACTTGGTTTTGCTTAGCTAGTTTTGACCCGCTTCCTTTGCTCGGTCCATTTTGGAGTGGATGTTTGGTGTCCAATCAGCCACTGTTGCTTGGTCCACTTCGGAGTGAGCATTGAGCGTCCGACCAACTTTCATTGCTCAGCTTACATCGGAATGGGTATTGGGTATCCAATCAACCTCCGTTGCTCGGTGTGCTTCAGAGTGGGTGTTGGGTGTCCAACCAACCTTTGTTGCTCGGCCTAGGCATTGGGTGTCTAACCAACTTCGCCTGCTCGGCCTAATCATTGGGTGTCTGACCAACTTTTGTTGCTCGGCCCAAGCGTTGGGCGTCTGACCAACTTCTACTGCATAGCCCAGGCGTTGGGCGTCCGATCAACTTTTGTTGCTTGGCCCAAGCGTTGGGTGTCCAACCAACTTCTATTGCTCTGCCCAGGCATTGGGCGTCCAACCAACTTTTGTTGCTCGGTCCACTACAAAGTGAGCATTAGGTGTTCGGCCAACTTTCATTGCTCGGCCCACTTCGGAATGGGTGTTAGGCGTCCAATTAACATCCATTTGTAGACACCCCATTTTTGACCGTCCTCAAGACTTGGACGTCACTGTTTGAACACTCGGTGATCATCCTTGTTCGTGTTCGTCTTGAGTTCCCGGAGGTCTCGGCTACGCGCCCTACCTCAGGATCTCCGAACTCGACCGTTTTGTGTCTGGTTTTGCACCAAACACTTGTGTTTTGCCTTGGAGGGGCAGGGAATGCCTTGTGAGGCATCCCCACACACCACCGGCAGTGGCTAGAGGCCACCGGCTGGTTTTTCCTGCCATCGGCAATCTATATTGCCGGTCGGCACTATTTGTTGCCGGTCGGCAGTCTTTTTTGTCAAAATGACATTTTTGGCCAGCCGACTACTATTCATCTGCTTTTGCAGATATTTTAGGACAGCTGTATGGCATTTTGTTCCCTCCATACACGTGTATGGAGGGATGGCTCCCTTGTTAGCTTACCTATTGGTAAGCTTTAAACAAGATTGACTCCTCTTTAAGATGGAGCCTCCTCTCTTGGCCTTGGGGTTGAGAATTTTTGGGAGAGAAAATACAGAGAGAACTGCCGGTTTAATGGGTTAGGGTTCATACATATCTCCTATCTCTCTTTTTCTCTCTTTGTGATCTTCTAGGTGTTTTGTCATACTTATTTGCACACAAACACCCTAGTGTTTCACTTCTATTGGCTACTGAGGGTTCTATAGACGCTGGTTTTGGTGTTTTTGGAGCTGGATTCCAAGCCAAGGAGGGGCTTTTGGAGTATCATTTGTGAGGTGATCTCCAAGGGTGAAGAATTCACTTTTATTCCATTTTTCAACACTCTGCTTTTCTAGCCTATCTTAGAGCTGTTTTTGTGCTTAGTTTCCAAACATACTATGTATATTTTCCACAACTAACATAAGTAAAAATTAAAAAAAAAAAACAAAAAAAAAAAACATCATCAAAAAAATATTGAGATTACAGATAACACCCCAAAGTATACCCACAAACACCCAAAACACCACAAAAAAAAAAAAATACTCCTCCCGTTCCTGGTTTGCGCCTCTTCCGGCTTCGTCTTGTTGCGTTGGACCGGGCTTCGTCTTGGCTGCGGCTGTGCTTCCCTCCGTTGGTTCCAGACATCTTCCGGCTTCGTCTTGCTGCGGCTCCGTCTCCTTGCTCACTCTTCCCGTGTTTCGCTTCCCCTGGGTGCGGGCGGTCTTCTGCCTTCCCTCTTTGTCCCTGGTCGGTGCCTGGGCCTCCGCCTTTGCCCCTGTCCGGTCCCTTCCCCTCGTTGCTCGCTCCCCTCAGGTCGGGTTTGGTCGCCCGCCGGCTTCTTGCCGGCCTCCGTTTCCCCTCCGCCTTCTTTCGGTCGGCCGTTCCGCCTCTCTACTTCTCTTTTTTTTGCTCGTCTCACCGCCCCTCGGACCCGTCGCCTGTTTCTCCACCCGTCTCGCTTTCGGTCCCCGTTGCCCTTTGGCCCCTTCTTCCTTCCGTTTGGCTGCGGTGCGTGCTCCTCGGGTTGGTCGGCCCCTTCCCCGGGCTGCCGCTTTGCGCTTCTGTCCGTGCCCCCGGGGTCTCCCCCGTCCCGGTTCTGGCTGTAGCGCCGAATCCGGAAACGCCCGCGCCCTTTGGGTCCTTCTTACTGCCTCCCGTCCCTTTGCCCCCTACCCCTTCGGTACTATGCCCTATATTCCCCCCGGCGCGGTTCGAGCTTCTCCTCTGGCCGTTCGCTTGGGGCCTGGCCCCGCGGGCCGCCCCCCCGGTTTCCATGTTTGCCGCTCGTTGCCGCCTTCTCTGCGTTTCGCGTTGTCCCCCGCTTGGCCCCTTGTTGGCAAAGAAAGAGACCCCCCCCCCCCCCCCCGCTGGACCCCTGGCCCGGGGGGAGCCCTCGCCGCGGCCCCTCCTCGCTTGCCCCTCCCCCTGGTGGTCTTCCCCTTGGTCCATACTTGGCCCAGGGCCTCGCTCCTTCCTCACTCCCCCCTTTGTGCGTCCTCGCGCGTGCCCCCCAGACCCCTTTTCCCTTGTCTGGCTGGTCAGAACCCCGGGGCCTCCGCGCTCGCTTTTCCCCCACTTTGGCGCCGGGCTCACGGGCTTGCTGCCGTCCTCCCTCTGTTGGCGGAGATAACACCCCAGACTGTGCCGCCGCGTTGGCCCTTGTCGCCTTTGCCCCGTCCCTCCTCGTCCCCGGTGTTTTTGGTTCGTCGTGGTGCCGCCGTCGTCTCTCCCCACGGCTTTTCCTGGCCTCCCGCTCCTCCCCCCACTGTTTGCCCCCCCCCTCCTGGCTTTCTCGCCTCCCCTCTGTTCGCTGCTCCCGCCTTTCCCCCTCTGCGGTCTGGTCGTGCCCACCGCCTGTTGTCGCCCGCTGCCCCTGCTCCTTCCCACTCGTTTCGCCCCCCGCGCCCGCTCTTACTAGGACCATCCCTGTTCTTCCTGGTTGGCCTCCTGTTCTCCCCCATGGCTGCACTGTGGTGGGCGCCTACGCCTGGCTTTTCCTTGGCGCCCCGTGCCCCTTTGTTGCTCTGGTGCCCGGCTGGGTCGGGCCCGGTCTTTCCCACTCGTCCCTCGGGTTGGCGTCTGTTGTCGGAATGCGCCCCAACTGTGCTCTTAGCATCATGCTTGGCCCTCTCTCTCCCCTGGGGCTCTGCTTGCTGTGGCCCTCTTCCCGCGGCGGGTGCGGGGCGCGCGCTGTCCTTCTTTTCTGCGCGCATATGTTCTCTTTGGCCTCCCCCTCCCCTGTTCATCATCGACACCGCCCGCCCCCACCGCGCGTCCCTCCCCCTCCGCGATCGCTGCCCCTGCTGTCCTGGCCCCCTCTCCCCGTGCTCTCGGCTCCTCTTCGGCCATTCGTTTGTTCCTCTGCCTCGCCCCGCCCTCGCCGCTACCCCTTGCCGTCTCCCCCTCCTGGGTGGTGCGCTCCGGCCCGCCCCCTCACCCCCTCTTTAGCGGGATGACTCGTTCCCCTCAGCGTCTTCGGCGTGGGGTTCCTTTGTGTCCCGCCTGGCCGGATCGGTGCCGTGGGGGTTCTGTCTGCTGGCTGGTGCCTTCCCACCGCTCCCTCCTCCCCTCGCCTGGCCTTTGCTGGCCCTTCGCCTCGTCGGACGCATATCCTGTGCTAGGCTTCCTTCCCCCGCCCCTTGCCTGCGCCTGCCTGCCCGCCTCTTCGTTGCTCTTCCCTTTTTTCCCCGCTGTTCGTGCCCCCGCCGCTGGTATGGGCTTGCCCGTCGGGCCCGGCGGCCTTTCCCGGCGCATGCCCCCGTTCGGGCCCTCTCTCTCCTCCCGCTCCTTTTTTTCTGTCCTTGCCTGTGCGGTTTGCTCTCAACTCCCGGCCCCTGGCCTTCTCGCGCTCCCCGTTTTTTCCCCCGTCCTTTGTTGTCTTTCGGCCTCGCGTTTCCTGTTTTTCCCTCTGTTGTTTCCCTCTTTCCTCCCTTGTCTCTCCTGCCATGGGCCTGTGGCTTGTCGTGGTTGCGTTTGGCCCCGGTTTTCCATATGCTTGTTTTTTCCCCCCTTCGTTGCCCCGCCTTTTGGTCGTCCGCTTGCGCGGGCCTTCTTGGCCCCGCGCCCCGTGCCACCTCTCCCTCCTTGGTCGTTGCCAGCCGTCCCTGAGCCGGGGAGTTTTTTTCCCGCTTAAGCCGCTGCGTCATTTGCCGCTTCTCCGCGGTTCCCAGCTCGCGCGTCTCCCTTGCGCTCGCGCGGGTTGTTTGTTGTCTGCCCATCCGTCTGGCTCTGTGTCTTCTCCCGGCTCAGGCAGCGGGCTCTTTTGCCGCTTCGCCGCGGCCCCCCTGTTGTGTCTTCCCCTTCGCGTGTCCCTTCTCTCCTACGCGTGGCCCTGTGCGTCTCTCCCGCTTGCGCCCGTGCCCTTTTTCTCTCCCTTTTTTTCGCTCCCTCTCTCTCTCTCTCTCACTTCCCCCCCCGTCCCTCCCCCCGTCTCTTTTCCTCCCTCCCTCTCTTCTCTCGCTTTCCCTCTCGCCTCGCTCGGCTCACACTCATCCCCTTGTGCCGCTCCTTCCCCGGGTGGCCCTCCTCCCGCTCCTCCCTTTGCCCCGCTTGCCGTTGGCCTTTGGACTCTTTGCAGGCTATCTCTCTTGACTATCGCATCGTCATTCTACCTTTGCGGTCGGCCCTGTTCTCCCCCTTGTCTGGTTTTTCCCCTCGGCCTTTTGTTTGTTTTGGTTCCCTTGTGGGCTTTGGGCGGCTTTGGTCCGTTCGGGTTTGGCTTCCCCCCTTGCCCGCGCGCTTTCTTCACTCTGTTCGGCTCTCTCTCCTGCCTCTGGGTTTGCTCTGCGGTTCCCTGGGTTCCCCTGTGGCTTCGCTTGGCCTTGCCCTTTCCACCGGGGCCCCTTGCCCTACCCATTTTGCGTTCCCTCATATCACTACTGTCTCGCTCCTAGCCTCTTGATCTGGGCCATTCCGCCCTTGGGCGCCTGTACTGCCTGCCTGGTGTCGTTGGCTTTGTTCCTCCCTCCCTTGTGGCCCTTTTCTCCCTTCTCTGTTCTCAATCGCTTGTGTCTTCTGTTTAGCCCCTCTCTCTTCTTGGCTCCTCAAAGGCGGCAGGCTCGCTGTTGCTGTTGTCGCCCGTGCCTGCGGCTTCGGTGCCTCGCCCCTCCTCCTTTCCCTGGCTCGTCCCTTGCCTCTGCTGCTAGTGCTGCCAGCCCGATTGCTCTCGTGGCCTGCTCGTCCACTCTCCAATCCTGCCGGTCCCTACTCCACTCCCTTGCCTCTGTCTACACTGTTTTTAGGGCGGCCCCCGGGGCTCTCACTCCCTGTTTTTGGGCGGCCTCCGGGATGGCTCTCCTTGCATATCCGTTAGGACAACCGAACCTCAACATTCGGGTGCACCCGTCCCGCCCTTCCTCCTG